CCTCCTCCATACTCTCTCCCTCCAATCTGATATCCAATCTTTCGTCACCTAATCTTTTTGTTATCCTTATAACCTTACTCTTTCCTATATTCACTTTTAATTTTCTTCTTTTACATACTCTACCAAATTCATCCGCCAACCTCTGCAACTTCTCTTCAGAATCTCCCAAAAGCACAGTGTCATCAGCAAAGAGAAACTGTGACAACTCCCACTTTGTGTTTGATTCTTTATCTTTTAACTACGCACCTCTTGCCAAGACCCTCGCATTCACTTCTCTTACAACCCCATCTATAAATATATTGAACAACCACGGTGACATCACACATCTTTGTCTAAGGCCTACTTTTACTGGGAAATAATCTCCCTCTCTCCTACATACTCTAATCTGAGCCTCACTATCCTCGTAAAATTTCTTCACTGCTCTCATTAACCTACCTCCTATACAAAAGCTGCCACATTGCCCCCCTATCCACCTTGTCATATGCCTATTCCAAATCCATATATGCCACAAAACCTCTTTAGCCTTATCTAAATACTGTTCACTTACATGTTTCACTGTAAACACCTGGTCCACACACCCCCCTACCTTTCCTAAAGCCTCCTTGTTCATCTGCTATCCTACTCTCCATCTTACGCTTAATTCTTCCAATAATAACTCTACCATACACTTTACTAGGTATACTCAACAGACTTATTCCTTATAATTTTTGCACTCTCTTTTGTCTCCTTTGCCTTTATACAAAGGATCTATGCACACTCTCTGCCAATCCCTAGGTACCTTACCCTCTTCCATACATTTATTAAATAGCACCAACCACTCCAAAACTATATCCCCACCTGATTTTAACATTTCTATCTTTATCCCATCAATCCCAGCTGCCTTACCCCCTTTCATTTTACCTACTGCCTCATGAACTTCCCCCACACTCACAACTGGCTCTTCCTCACTCCTACAAGATGTTATTCCTCCTTGCCCTATACACGAAATCACAGCTTCACTATCTTCATCAACATTCAACAATTCCTCAAAATATTCCCTCCATCTTCCCAATACCTCAAACTCTCCATTTAATAACTCTCCTCTCCTATTTTTAACTGTCAAATTCATTTGTTCCCTAGGCTTCCTCAGCTTATTTATCTCACTCCAAAACTTTTTCTTCTTTTCAACAAAATTGGTTGAAAACATCTCACCTACTCTCTCATTTGCTCTCTTTTTACACTGATTCATCACCTTCTTAACCTCTCTTTTTCTCTCCACATACTCTTCCCTCCTTGTATCTCTTCTACTTTGCAAAAACCTCTCACATGCTAACTTTTTCTCCCTTACTACTCCCTCTTTACATCATGATTCCACCAATCGCTCCTCTTCCCTCCCGCACCCACTTTCCTGTAACCACAAACTTCTGCTGAACACTAACACTACATTCTTAAATCTACCCCATACATCTTCGACCCCATTATCTATACTCTCACTAGCCCATCTATCCTCCAATAGCTGCTGCTTCTATTTTCCTTGTATCTCATCTCTCAGTAGTACCATGTATGGTACTACTGAGACACCTACCTTTTACTCTCACTGTAGCTACAACTAAAAAGTGATTTGATATATCTGTGGCCCCTCTATAAGCATGTACATCCTGAAGTCTACTCAACAGTCTTTTATCTACCACTACATAGTCCAACAAACTACTGTCATTACGCCCTACATCATATCTTGTATAATTATTTATCCTCTTTTTCTTAAAATATGTATTTCCTATAACTAAACCCCTTTCTATACAAAGTTCAATCAAAGGGTTCCCATTATCATTTACACCTGGCACCCCAAACTTATCTACCCCACTCTCTCTAAATGTTTCTCCTACTTGAGCATTCAGGTCCCCTACCACAATTTCTCACTTGGTTCAAAGGTTCCTATACATTCGCTTAACATCTCCCAAAATCTCTCTCTCTCTCTCCTCTACATTCCTCTCTTCTCCAGGTGCATACACGCTTACTGTGACCCACTTTTCGCATCCGACCCTTATTTTAATCCACATAATCCTTGAATTTACACATTTACATTCCCTCTTCTCCTTCCATAATATATATATATATATATATATATATATATATATATATATATATATATATATATATATATATATATATATATATATATCGTACTGAATATGTAAAACTGGTCAATTAGCAAGAACTCATTTAAAATTAAGTCCTTCCTAAAATTTTCTCTTATACGTTTAAAGATATATATTTTTTTTCATTAATGTTAATGTAAAAAATTTTAATTTTTCTCCAAAAGAATCTTAGAAAACTTACCTAACCTTATTATAACAAGAACAATTTATTTTAGCCTAACCCAACTAAATATATTTTAGATTTCTTTACAATAATTTAATACTAAACAAACACAGTGAAATATATTTTTTTCGTTAGGTTCAGAATGATTTTGGCGAAATTATTTCATACACAAATTTTCACTTGTCTTACATGGCAAGATGAGCGTTGCTATTTAAGCCAAGATCGCAAGTTCTGCCTATTCGGCACGACACACACACACACACACACACACACACACACACACACACACACCCCACACACACACACACATACGGGGCCAGGAGCTGAGTCTCGACCCCTGCAACCACAATTAGGTGAGTCACACTACACACACACACACATAATATAATATATATATATTATATATATTATGTCGTGCCGAATATGTAAAACTGGTCAGTTAGCAAGAACTCATTTAAAATTAAGTTCTTTCTAAAATTTTATCTTATACGTTTAAAGATATTATTTTTTTCATTAATGATGATGCACAAATTATAATTTGCACACAAAGAACTTAGAAAACTTACCTAACCTTATGTATACAAGCGCAATTTATTTTAGCCTAACCCAACCAAATATATTTTAGATTTGTTTACAATAAATTAATACTAGCAAACACAGTGAAATATATTTTTTCGTAGGTTCAGAATGATTTGGCGAAATTATTGCCTACACAAATTTTCACTTGTCCTATATGGCAAGATAGCGTGCTATTTAAGCCAAATTCGCAAGTTCTGCCTATTCGGCAACGACATAATATATATATATATATATATATATATATATATATATATATATATATATATATATATATATATATATATATATATATATATATATATATATATATATATACAAAACAACCATTTGCGCCTTACCAAAGCAGATAAAATAAATGCAACTGTAATTATGAAAGAAAATGATTACCAAGAAAAAATGAATAATCTCTTAGATGATACTGAAACCTATTCTAAACTTAGAAAGAATCCCTTAGAAACCGTTAACAGCAACTTCAATAAAACAATAAAACTTCTACTGAAAGGCAAAGATGAATTAATTAAACAATTCACTTCCACTAATCCATCTTTACCTTACATGTATGGACTAATAAAAACACACAAACCAGGTAATCCAATTAGACCAATTATTAGCTCCATAGGATCAATTTCGTATAAATTGTCCAAATGGCTTGTTAACATTTTGAGCCCTGTTGTTGGTAAAATTTCTAACTTGAATGTTAAAAACAACTTAGATTTAGTTGATAAATTAAGCTCCTTGACTGACTTAAATGATTTTAACATGGTTAGTTTTGATGTTGCTTCCTTGTTTACGAAAGTTCCTGTTGATGATTTATTAAGTTTCTTATCTGAAGAACTCGTTAATTATGATTTACCATTGCCAGTTCCTACTATCATTAAACTTATTAAACTTTGCATTGTTGATGCAAAATTTGTATTTAATGATAAGTTTTACACTCAGAAATTTGGTATGGCAATGGGGAATCCTCTTTCACCTGTTCTTAGTAATCTATACATGGAATTTTTTGAAACAAGGTTACTTAACACAATCCTCCCTAATAGAGCAAAATGGTTCAGATATGTTGATGATATTTTAAGTCTTATGCCCAAGAATGTAGATATACACCATTTCCTTGGCAAATTAAATAGCTTAGCCCATTCTATAAACTTTACTGTTGAGTTTGAGAAAAATAACTCATTGCCTTTTCTAGATGTTTTAATTATTAAGAGTAATAATGAATTCAAATTTAAAATTTACAGAAAACCTACAAATAACTGTTCCTATGTACACTATTATTCTTCCCATCAAGATAGAGATAAACTCTCTGTTTTCTCATCAATGTTTTTGAGAGCTTTACGTATTTGTAGTCCAGAGTTCACAGATGAAGAAATATCCAAAATTTATGAAATAGCCAATGATCTGAAATACCCGAGAAATGTAATTGATAAATCATTTAAAATTGCTATTATTATTATTATAATCAAGAGGACGCGCTAAACCCGGAGGATTATACAGCGCCTGGGGGGAGGGATGTGGAAGGCATTCAGGCTTAATTCGGGGAACTGGAGCACAGATCCAATTCCCTAAATCAAGAGCTCCTCACCAACGTCAAGGAACCTTCCTTGAGGGGTCCTTTACCATGAAAACTTGGTTGATATGCCTTCTCTTCTTAAGACTTTTAATATTAAAGTTGTATTTAAAAATCTTGATACAGTAAAAAAAACTTTTGATAAAGAATCCCCCCAAATGCTGACGGATGTGTCTATAAGATTCCTTGTAAAATTTGCGATAAAGTTTATCACGGTCAAACTGGTAAAAATCTCGAACTTAGATTAAAACAACATAAATATAGCATTAGAACTGGACAAGATTCCAATGCTCTGTTTATTCATGTGAGTAGTCACGAAAGCGCTTGGAATTTCACTACTCTTTCACAGTGGTTGTTTTGCATATTTTAAAATCACCTGTTTACTGTGATCTTATTGCTTATATATATATATATAAAATCTATATATATATATATATATATATATAATATATAAATAATATAATATATAAAATATATATATATATATTTTTATATATGGCAGAAATCTAATTAGTGTTAGAGAAAGAAAGAGAGCGAGAGGAAGGGGACTGACCTCTGAGTATCTGATAGAGGAAGACCTTGACATGGTCGGCTGACAGGTGTTGTGGGGAGACGATGATCTTGTGAAGGTCACTCTGCATCAGTTCAGTGATCACGTAGCTGTCATTCAATGTTAAGGAACACAACACGTACACTTATCAACACACAACGTGTGGCCAGTGCTTAGTAACGTACCACCACACGCTGCATTGTACCACCATACACTGTATTATACCATCACACACTGTACTGTACCACCACACACTGTATTGTACCACTACACACTGCATTGTACCACCACACACTGCATTGTACTATTATGCTGTAATGTACCACCACACAGGGTATTTTAAACCAAAAGGCTCAGTGAAACCAAATGCCTTTTTTACCTTTGCTGTTAATTACCAAAACACTTAGTAACCAAACACTTTTGACCCCACAAACCATTGTACTTGTCTTTGACCTATCCTGTAAAAAAACTAAAGACTGTCAGTAGATAGGCTTTGTGGGGCATAAATGTCTCTGCTCAGGACTCTCTGCACATGAAGATGTGTCATACTTACTTCTGCAGTAACGTACATCACTACTGATTTAAATACAAGTTATCCTTACACCTGAATGTGTATCCAACAGGATGTAACATACACTTATTGTACCACATCGGTCTTCTGTCTCACTTATTGCTCTCCATTGTACTCTCATAACATTGATCCACCACATATGTACTCGTACCACTACACTATATTGCATTCTACAGTAACCACTACCACTGTATTGTACCCCAGTTGTACTGTAATAATTATTTACCACCACAGGATTTCTTTTAGTACTGTAACTACATGAGTATTGTACCAGCCATCAGTATGTACTGTTAGCCACTACACTATATGTACCACCACGGTTGTATCTGACATAACTGTTGTGTAACATTTAGATCTGACGTACCACTTCACTGTATTTACCACACAGTTGTCATGACCACACATCTTATTGTAACGTCATTTTACTTGTACTTAACACTTTTGTACCACCATTTGGTACTGTCGCATAATATATTGAAAAAGGTTTACTGTAGTAATGTATAAGTTCCAGTTGTTGTAGCACTACATGTTTCTGTCACACAGTGTGCCCTACCTTAGACATCAAGTGTGTACACTACACGTTAACCTACATTGCTGAACCTCCACAGTGTATTTATATTAAAATTTATTATTTATCACAGACTGTATTGTACCACCACAGGTTGTACTGTACCACTACACTGTATTGTACCACCACAGGTTGTACTGTAACCACTACACTGTATTGTACCACCACAGTTGTATTGTACCACTACACTGTATTGTACCACCACCAGGTTGTCTGTACCACACAGTTGTATTGTACCACCTACACTTGTATGTTACCACCACAGGTTGTACTGTACCACTACACTGCATGTACCACCACAGGTTGTACTGTACCACTACACTGTATTGTACCACCACAGTTGTATGTACCACTACACTGTATTGTACCACTACACAGTTATGTACCACACAGGTGTACTGTACCACTACACTGTATTGTACCACCACAGGTTGTACTGTACCACTACACTGTATTGTACCACCACAGGTTGTACTGTACCACTACACTGTATTGTACCACCACAGGTTGTACTGTACCACTACACTGTATTGTACCACTACACTGTATTGTACCACCACAGGTTGTACTGTACCACTACACTGCATTGTACCACCACAGGTTGTACTGTACCACTACACTGTATTGTACCACCACAGGTTGTACTGTACCACTACACTGCATTGTACCACCACAGGTTGTACTGTACCACTACACTGTATTGTACCACCACAGGTTGTACTGTACCACTACACTGTATTGTACCACCACAGGTTGTACTGTACCACTACACTGTATTGTACCACCGCAGGTTGTACTGTACCACTACACTGTATTGTACCACCACAGGTTGTACTGTACCACTACACTGCATTGTACACCACACAGGTTGTACTGTACCACTACACTGATTGTACCACCACAGGTTGTACTTACCACTACCTGTATTTTACCACCACAGGTTGTACTGTACCACTACACTGTATTGTACCACCGCAGGTTGTACTGTACCACTACAACTGTATTGTCCCCACAGGTTGTACTGTACCACTACACTGCATTGTACCACCACAGGTTGTACTGTACCACTACACTGTATTGTACCACCACAGGTTGTACTATACCACTACACTGTATTGTACCACCACAGGTTGTACTGTACCACTACACTGTATTGTACCACCACAGGTTGTACTGTACCACTACACTGTATTGTACCACCACAGGTTGTACTGTACCACTACACTGCATTGTACCACCACAAGGTTGTACTGTACCACTACACTGATTGTACCACCACAGGTTGTACTGTACCACACTTACTTACACTGCTTGTTACCACCACAGGTTGTACTGTACCACCACAGGTTGTACTGTACCACTAC